ATACTGACATACCGACATATCCCACCACAATATACTGACATACCGACATACCCCACCCCGACATACCGACATACCGATATACTGACATACCCCACCCCGACATACCGACATACTGACATACCGACATACAGACATACCCCACCACAACATACTGACATACCCCACCCCGACATACCGACATACTGACATACCGACATACAGACATATCCCACCACAACATACTGACATACCCCACCCCAACATACCGACATACTGACATACCGACATACCCCACACCGACATACCGACATACCCCACCCCAACATACCGACATACCCCACCCCGACATACCGACATACCGACATACTGACATACTGACATACCGACATACCCCACCACAATATACTGACATACCGACATACCCCACCCCGACATACCGACATACCCCACCCCGACATACCGACATACTGACATACCGACATACCGACATACCCCACCCCGACATACTGACATACCCCACCCCGACATACCGACATACTGACATACCGACATACCGACATACCCCACCCCGACATACCGACATACCCCACCCCGACATACCGACATACCGACATACAGACATACTGACATACCGACATACAGACATACCCCACCACAACATACCGACATACCTCACCCCGACATACCGACATACTGACATACCGACATACCCCACCACAACATACTGACATACCGACATACCCCACCACAACACACTGACATACCGACATACCCCACCCCGACATACGGACAGTTTTTATGTCGTCATTCCAACAAACTACACACAGTTTGGAGAATCACCTTTTTTGCCTTGTGTCCGGAGAATTAAAACCAGAACTGAACCAGGACTGAACCAGGACTGACATGACATGTAACTGAACACTGTGAGACTGCAGCTCAGGCTGGGGTCTGGTCCAGGTCTGGTCCAGGTCTGGTCCAGGTCTGGTCCAGGTCTGGTTCAGTTCCGGGTTTGTGCAGGTGAACTTTGACCTCTTGTCTCTTTCAATCAGCGTCATGTTCCTGCGCTGTGATTGGCTGTTTGAGTTTAGACCAGGACTGAACCAGGACTAAACCGGGACTGAACCAGGATTTTATATATGAGTATTTAATTAAGAGCTGTAGAAATGTAAATTTTTCATTTTTACAAAATCTTGGTGTGAGTCGTGACGTCAGAATAGAAAGAATTCAGATTTAAAAGAATTTAATGACACTTATTCTGTCGTGAAGGACCAGGATCTATTCAGGTCCCTCTGTTTTACTGCATTGTACTGTGTATTACTGCATTGTACTGTGTATTACTGCATTGTACTGTGTATTACTGCATTGTACTGTGTATTACTGCATTGTACTGTGTATTACTGCATTGTACTGTGTATTACTGCATTGTACCGTGTATTACTGCATTGTACCGTGTATTACTGCATTGTACCGTGTATTACTGCATTGTACCGTGTATTACTGCATTGTACTGTGTATTACTGCATTGTACTGTGTATTACTGCATTGTACCGTGTATTACTGCATTGTACTGTGTATTACTGCCAGTGTTGGGGAGTAACAGATTACATGTACCAAAGTTACATAATCAGAGTACAAATTATGAGTAAGTGTATTCAGTTACAGTTACTGTTTCAGTGAGTGGTAATTGGATTACAGTTACTTTGTTGGAATAAATGGATTACACAGAGGGATTTTCCTGTTTTCACATTTTGAGCTAAACCAGGATTAAACCAGGACCAATTTGAAGAGAACAAACATGAATTTTCAGGATGTGGTTGTTACATTCATGTAGTTTTAAAAAACATGACAAGATCAAGTAATCCAAAGTAATCAGATTACGTTACTCACTTTAAGAAATTTAATGGATTACGTTACAAACTACATTTTGTTGTATGTAATCTGTAATCTGTGGGGATTACATTTTAAAAGTAACCTTCCCAACACTGATTACTGCATTGTACTGTGTATTTCTGTAGTACTTTTGAGTATCTCAGTACTTCAGGTCCATCCAAAGTACAAACACAAGTGAGAGGGAAATGTTCCAGTTTGTTTCTGTGAGATTCAGCGTCACGTTTATCAACTGTAAAGAGAAAAGGTCAGGAGAAGCACCGAGTTTGCTCAAGTCACAGACCTTCAAGTCCGAGTCAAGTCCCGAGTCTTAGTCCGTTTTATCCAGTCAAGTCTCAAGTCCTAAAAAAAGTGATTCAAGTCTGACTCGAGTCCAAGTCACGACTCGCAGGTCCCACGTCTGCCGCTGCTGCACTGACTCATGTCGTCATGAACGGGCCGAGTGCAACAGTTTTACTTCGTTAGTCACTCGTTTAACTCTTTTATTTTGACCAACCACCAAAATCTACAGATAATACTCCCTACAACTGTACAACTCACCCTTATGTCACAGATAATACTCCCTAAAACTGTACAACTCACCCTTATGTCACAGATAATACTCCCTACAACTGTACAACTCACCCTTATGTCACAGATAATACTCCCTACAACTGTACAACTCACCCTTATGTCACAGATAATACTCCCTACAACTGTATAACACTACTTATGTGACAGATAATACTCCCTACAACTGTACAACTCACCCTTATGTGACAGATAATACTCCCTACAACTGTACAACTCACCCTTATGTAACAGATAATACTCCCTACAACTGTACAACTCACCCTTATGTCACAGATAATACTCCCTACAACTGTACAACTCACCCTTATGTCACAGATAATACTCCCTACAACTGTACAACTCACCCTTATGCCACAGATAATACTCCCTACAACTGTATAACCACTCACCATTATGTGACAGATAATACTCCTACAACTGTACAACTCACCCTTATGTCACAGATAATACTCCCTACAACTGTACAACTCACCCTTATGTAACAGATAATACTCCCTACAACTGTACAACTCACCCTTATGTCACAGATAATACTCCTACAACTGTACAACTCACCCTTATGTAACAGATAATACTCCCTACAACTGTACAAACTCAATTATGTCACAGATAATACTCCCTACAACTGTATAACTCACTAATACTCCTACAACTGTACAACTCACCCTTATGTGACAGATAATACTCCCTACAACTGTACAACTCACCCTTATGTGACAGATAATACTCCTACAACTGTAATCACCCTTATGTCACAGATAATACTCCCTACAACTGTACAACTCACTTATGCCACTAGTCACACTTATGTACAGATAATACTCCCTACAACTGTACAACTCACCCTTATGTCACAGATAATACTCCCTACAACTGTATAACCCTCACCCTTATGTACAGATAATACTCCCTACAACTGTACAACTCACCCTTATGTACAGATAATACTCCCTAAAACTGTACACTCACCCTTATGTCACAGATAATACTCCCTACAACTGTACAACTCACCCTTATGTCACAGATAATACTCCCTACAACTGTATAACCACTCACCTTATGTGACAGATAATACTCCCTACAACTGTACACTCACCCTTATGTACAGATAATACTCCCTACAACTGTACAACTCACCCTTATGTACAGATAATACTCCTACAACTGTACAACTCACCCTTATGTAACAGATAATACTCCCTACAACTGTACAACTCACCCTTATGTCACAGATAATACTCCCTACAACTGTACAACTCACCCTTATGCCACAGATAATACTCCCTACAACTGTATAACCACTCACCATTATGTGACAGATAATACTCCCTACAACTGTACAACTCACCCTTATGTCACAGATAATACTCCCTACAACTGTACAACTCACCCTTATGTAACAGATAATACTCCCTACAACTGTAACAACTCACCCTTATGTCACAGATAATACTCCCTACAACTGTACAACTCACCCTTATGTAACAGATAATACTCCCTACAACTGTACAACTCACCCTTATGTCACAGATAATACTCCCTACAACTGTATAACCACTCACCCTTATGTGACAGATAATACTCCCTACAACTGTACAACTCACCCTTATGTGACAGATAATACTCCCTACAACTGTACAACTCACCCTTATGTAACAGATAATACTCCCTACAACTGTACAACTCACCCTTATGTCACAGATAATACTCCCTACAACTGTACAACTCACCCTTATGTCACAGATAATACTCCCTACAACTGTACAACTCACCCTTATGCCACAGATAATACTCCCTACAACTGTATAACCACTCACCATTATGTGACAGATAATACTCCCTACAACTGTACAACTCACCCTTATGTCACAGATAATACTCCCTACAACTGTACAACTCACCCTTATGTAACAGATAATACTCCCTACAACTGTACAACTCACCCTTATGTCACAGATAATACTCCCTACAACTGTACAACTCACCCTTATGTCACAGATAATACTCCCTACAACTGTACAACCTCACCCCTTATGTCACAGATAATACTCCCTACAACTGTACAACTCACCCTTATGTCACAGATAATACTCCCTACAACTGTACAACTCACCCTTATGTCACAGATAATACTCCCTACAACTGTACAACTCACCCTTATGTCACAGATAATACTCCCTACAACTGTACAACTCACCCTTATGTCACAGATAATACTCCCTACAACTGTGACGTCTTGTATGAAGCTGAGATTTTATATTTTATTTCTTATCTTTCTATTTTATTTTTACTTGTACATTTATATTTATACAATTATGTTTTATTTAGTTTATTTTATTTAACGTATGTCTCTTTTTTGCTGCTTATTTAGAGTTTATTTATTTATACATTTGACTTTTGTTGTTATATTTATTGTGGATCGGTGAAGTTTGTCTGAGTCGAAAAAAAAAACAAAAAAACTCAAAATGTGAAGTGTTTATTTTCGTTCAGGCGCAGTGAGGACAGCCCGCCTCCTGCCCGGGGTCCTTTACGTGGCGCTAGTAAACAAAGATGGCGGCGTGAGAAGAGAAGAACCGTCCGAAGAATCTCCGAGTGTCCCCGAGTGTCCCCGAGTGTCCCCGAGTGTCCCCGAGTGTCCCCGAGTGTCCCCCGAGTGTCCCCGAGTGTCCCCGAGTGTCCCCGGGCGTCCACGAGTGTCTGAAGTTCCAGGACTTTTGGAGGAGTCTGTCCCCGGGTCCTGGAGCGGTGTGTCCCCGGGTCCTGGAGCGGTGTGTCCCCGGGTCCTGGAGGAGTGTGTCCCCGGGTCCTGGAGGAGTGTGTCCCCGGGTCCTGGAGGAGTGTGTCCCCGGGTCCTGGAGCGGTGTGTCCCGGGTCAGAGATGAGCGGTTGGGCGGGTTTCTCAGACGCGGAGCTCCGGCGGCTCCAGCAGACTCCCGGTGAGTCCCGAACCTCCGCAAAACTACGACCTTTAATCCGGATTAAAAGTCTGAGAGCGACCGGTGCGTGTAAAGACTTACCGACACGATACAGACCTCGATACGATACGATACAGACCTCGATATGACATACAGACCTCGATACGATACGATACAGACCTCGATATGACACGATACAGACCTCGATACGATACGATACGACCGATACACGATACGATCGATACGATACGATACAGACCTCGATATGACACGATACAGACCTCGGTATGACACGATACAGACCTCGATACGATACGATACAGACCTCGATATGACACGATACAGACCTCGGTATGACACGATACAGACCTCGATACGATACGATACAGACCTCGATATGATACATTCCTCGATACGATACAGACCTCGATACGATACGATACAGACCTCGATATGACACGATACAGACCTCGATACGATACAGACCTCGATACGATGCGATACAGACCTCGATATGACACGATACAGACCTCAATACGATACGATACAGACCTTGATATGACACGATACAGACCTCGATACGATACGATACAGACCTCGATACGATACATTCCTCGATACGATACAGACCTCGATACGACACGATACAGACCTCGATACGATACAGACCTCGATATGATGCGATACAGACCTCGATATGACACGATACAGACCTCAATACGATACGATACAGACCTTGATATGACACGATACAGACCTCGATACGATACGATACAGACCTCGATACGATACGATACAGACCTCGATATGACACGATACAGACCTCGATACGATACAGACCTCGATACGACACGATACAGACCTCGATACGATACAGACCTCGATACGACACGATACAGACCTCGATACGATACAGACCTCGATACGATACGATACAGACCTCGATACGACATACAGACCTCGATACGACCTCGATACGACACGATACAGACCTCGATACGACACGATACAGACCTCGATATGATACAGTCCTCGATACGATACAGACCTCGATACGACACGATACAGACCTTGATATTATACATTCCTCGATACGATACAGACCTCGATACATAAGCGACGATATGAGACAATACATAGGCCATGATGCGATACGATACATAGGCCATGATGCGATACGATACATAGGCCATGATGCGATACGATACATAGGCCATGATACGATATGATACGATACGATACATAGGCTGTGATTCGATACACACATACAGTGATCTTTTGTTTTGATACGGTTCATTTAAAAAATAAATCACGTTTGTGTCAGTAAAATTTCATCTGAAACACAAATATTTAAATCAAAACAGTGAAAATGTCAAATGTGTCGCAGAAACGAGTTTCCTTCGTCTGAACAAACAACAAAACTGAAGCTGGAACTAAATAATTTAATCAAATAAACTAAAAAATACTCTACGATATCGATACTGAATCAGCACATTAAACCAAACGATATATCGATATTTCAGTAATTTTACACACAACTAATCTGAGAGTGGTTCTAATCCCGGTTTAGTCCTGGTTTAGTCCTGGTTCAGTCCTGATTTAGTCCTGGTTCAGTCCCGGTTTAGTCCCGGTTTAGTACTGGTATAGTACTGGATTAGTCCTGGTTTAGTCCTGGTTTAGTCCTGGTTTAGTCCTGGTTCAGTCCTGGTTTAGTCCTGGTTTAGACCTGGTTTAGTCCTGGTTCAGTCCTGGTTTAGTCCTGGTTTAGACCTGGTTTAGTCCTGGATTAGTCCTGGTTTAATCCCGGTTTAGTCCTGGTTTAGACCTGTTTTAGTCCCGGTTTAGTCCTGGTTTAGACCTGGTTTAGTCCTGGTTTAGTCCTGGTTTAGACCTGGTTTAGTCCTGGTTTAGTCCTGGTTTAGACCTGGTTTAGTACTGGTTTAGACCTGGTTTAGACCTGGTTTAGTCCTGGTTTAGTCCTGGTTTAGACCTAGTTTAGTTCAGGTTTTAAAGTGATTCTCTCAAAGTCCAGGACTGAAAATCTAAAAGTGACACTTGGTTAAATTGAGTTTTTCCACGATTAAAAACTTAAAATGAGACGATCACAAACCCAGAACCTTCTGGACGTTCTGGAAATAAACTCGGTACCGTTTAACTCAAAATCCAATTAAGTCCAGACCAGTTTATCGTCAAAGTCTCTGGTGAGTAACGAGCGTCTCTCTCCTCAGACCCGGCGGTTCCGGTGTCAGGTCGAGGGCGTAAACCGGGTCCTGTGACCAGAACCCGGCAGCAGATCCAGAGGGAACAGGCCCTGCTCAGGTCCAAGTCCGAGTCCGGGTCCGGTCCACTTCCACCGGACCAGCAGCTCAGCCAGACCAAACCCCAGCCCAAAACACAACCAGGACCAGGTACAAGGACCAGACCGGAGACCAGACCGGAGACCAGACCCGAGACCAGACCGGAGACCAGACCGGAGACCAGACCCGAGACCAGACCGGAGACCAGACCCGAGATCAGACCCGAGACCAGACCGGAGACCAGACCCGAGACCAGACCCGAGACCAGACCCGAGACAAACGGAGATCTGACAATGGCCGAACTGAAAAAGCCTGAGGAGGAACCTGAAGCGGCTCCGGTTTTAAAAGAGCTGGAGAAACAAGAAGTCGAACTGTAAGTGTTTTCTGGAACCAGGTCCAGATCCAGACCTCTGAGTTTGTTCTTCATGTTCTTGTGACGTTCTCCTCTCCTCCCTCCGTGTGCTCGTGTTTGTCGTTTCAGCGCGCGAGCGCAGTCGTCTGGAGCTGCTGCAGATCCAACAGAAGGAGATGGAGGAAAAGAACAAGAGGAAGAAAGCTCTGCTCGCCAAGACCATCGCAGAGAAGTGAGTCTGTCTCCACAACATCTAGAACATCTACACAACATCTCCAACATCTCCAACATCTCCAACATCTACACAACATCTACAACATCTACAACATCTACAACATCTACAACATCTACAACATCTACAACATCTACAACATCCAACATCATCTCCACAACATCTAAACAACATCCAACATCCAACATCCACAACATCTCCAACATCTACAACATCTTACACAACATCTCAACACAACATCTACAACATCTACAACATCTACAACATCCACACACAACAACATCTCCACAACATCTCCAAACATCTCCAACATCTACAACATCTACAACATCTCCACACATCTAAAATCTACACATCTACAACATCTACAACATCTACAACATCCACAACATCTACACTCTAACATCTCACAACATCTACAACATCTACATCCAACATCCAACAACATCTACAACAACATCTACAACAATCTACAAACAATCTCAACAACATCTACACATCACACATCTACAACATCACAACATCTACAACATCTACAACATCTACAACATCTACAACATCTACAACATCTCCACAACATCTCCAACATCCACAACATCTCCAACATCTCCAACATCTACAACATCCACAACATCTCCAACATCTCCAACATCCACAACAACATCTACAACATCTACAACATCTACAACATCTCACAACATCTCAACAACATCCACAACATCCACAACATCTCCACATCCACAACATCCAACATCTCAACATCTCCAACATCCACAACATCTCCAACATCATCCAACATCACAACACATCTTACAACATCTCACAACATCTACAACATCTACAACATCCACAACATCTCCAACATCTCCAACATCTCCACAACATCCACAACATCTACAACATCTACACACATCTACAACATCTACAACATCTCCACATCACAACAACATCCACAACATCTCCAACATCTCCAACATCCACAACATCTACAACATCTACAACATCTACAACATCTCCAACATCCAACATTCACAAACATCTCCAACATCTCCAACATCTACAACATCTCCAACATCTCCAACATCTCCAACATCTACAACATCTACAACATCTACAACATCTACAACATCCACAACATCTCCACAACATCTCCAACATCTCCAACATCTCCAACATCCACAACATCTCCAACATCTCCAACATCTACAACATCCACAACATCTACAACATCTACAACATCTACAACATCCACAACATCTCCACAACATCTCCAACATCTCCACAACATCCACAACATCTACAACATCTACAACATCTACAACATCTACAACATCCACAACATCTCCACAACATCTCCAAAATCTCCACAACATCTACAACATCTACAACATCCACAACATCTACAACATCTACAACATCCACAACATCTCCACAACATCTACAACATCCACAACATCTACAACATCCACAACATCACAACATCTCCACAACATCTACAACATCTACAACATCTCACAACATCCACAACATCTCCAACATCTACAACATCCACAACATCTCCACAACATCCACAACATCTACAACATCCACAACATCTACAACATCTACAACATCTACAACATCTCCACAACATCTACAACATCCACAACATCTACAACATCTACAACATCTACAACATCTACAACATCTCCACAACATCTACAACATCTACAACATCTACAACATCTACAACATCTCCAACATCTACAACATCTACAACATCTACAACATCTACAACATCCACAACATCTACAACATCTCCAACATCTACAACATCTACAACATCTCCACAACATCTACAACATCCACAACATCTCCACAACATCTCCACAACATCTACAACATCTACAACATCTACAACATCCACAACATCTACAACATCCACAACATCTACAACATCTACAACATCTACAACATCTACAACATCCACAACATCTACAACATCTACAACATCTACAACATCTACAACATCTACAACATCTACAACATCTACAACATCTCTACAACATCTACACAACATCTACAACATCTCACAACATCTCACAACATCTACACAACATCTACAACATCTACAACATCTACAACATCTACAACATCTACAACATCTACAACATCTACAACATCTACAACATCTCCACAACATCTACAACATCTACAACATCTACAACATCTACAACATCCACAACATCTACAACATCTACAACATCTACAACATCTACAACATCTACAACATCTACAACATCTACAACATCTACAACATCCACAACATCTCCAACATCTCCAACATCTACAACATCTACAACATCTACAACATCCACAACATCTACAACATCTACAACATCTACAACATCTACAACATCTCACAACATCTCCACAACATCTACAACATCCACAACATCTACAAACATCCACAACATCTACAACATCCACAAAACATCTACAACATCTACAACATCCACAACATCTACAACATCTACAACATCTACAACATCTACAACATCTACAACATCCACAACATCTACACAACATCTACAACATCTCCAACATCTACAACATCTCACAACATCTACAACATCTCTACAACATCTACAACATCCACAACATCTCCACAACATCTCCACAACATCCACAACATCTACAACATCTACAACATCTACAACATCTACAACATCTCCACAACATCTACAACATCTACAACATCTACAACATCTACAACATCACAACATCACAACATCCACAACATCTACAACATCTACAACATCTACAACATCTACAACATCCACAACATCCACAACATCTACAACATCTCACAACATCTACAACATCTACAACATCTACAACATCTACACACATCTACAACATCTACAACATCTACAACATCTACAACATCTACACAACATCCACAACATCCACAACATCTACAACATCTACAACATCTACAACATCTCTACAACATCTACAACATCACAACATCTACACAACATCCACAACATCCACAACATCTCCACAACATCCCAACATCCACAACATCCACAACATCCACAACATCTACAACATCTACAACATCTCCACAACATCTACAACATCTACAACATCTACAACATCATCTACAACATCTACAACATCTACAACATCTACAACATCTACAACATCCACAACATACAACATCTACACAACATCTACACAACATCTACAACATCTCACAACATCTACAACATCTACAACATCTACAACATCTACAACATCTACAACATCTACAACATCCACAACATCCCCAACATCTCCAACATCTCCAACATCTCCAACATCTACAACATCTACAACATCCACAACATCTACAACATCTACAACATCCACAACATCCACAACACCTCCAACATCCACAACATCCACAATATCTACAACATCTCCAACATCTACAACATCCACAACATCTCCAACATCTACAACATCTACAACATCTACACAACATCCACAACATCTACAACATCCACAACATCCACAACATCTACAACATCTCCAACATCTACAACATCCACAACATCTACAACATCTACAACATCTACAACATCTACCACAACATCTCCACAACATCTCCAACATCTCCAACATCTCCAACATCTACAACATCTACAACATCTACAACATCTACAACATCCACAACATCTACAACATCTACAACATCTACACAACATCTCCACAACATCTACAACATCTACAACATCCACAACATCTCTCATGTTCCTCTGATGTTCCTCTCATGTTCCTCAGGTCCAAACAGACTCGAGCAGAGACCATGAAGCTCCAGAGGATCCAGAAGGAGCTGCAGACTCTGGACGACATGGTGTCCAACGACATCTCCATCCTCCGAGGACGAATCGAGCAGGCCAGCTGGGACTACACTACTGCAAGGTACTACGATACTACTACTACTACTACTACTACTACTACTATTACTACTACTACTACGAGAAGCTAAAATGCTCCTCTGACCTCCTCTGTTCCTCTGTGGTTCTTCGTTTCAGGAAGCGTTACGAAAAAGCTGAAGCCGAGTTTGTCGCGGCGAAGTTGGAGCTTCATAAGAAAACGGAGCTGAAGGAGCAGCTGACGGAACATCTGTGCGCCATCATCCAGCAGAACGAACTCCGCAAGGCCCAGAAGCTCGAGGAGCTCATGGCCCGACTGGAGCTGCAGGCCGACGACCACGAGGACGAGGAGAAGGACGAGGAGAAGGAGGAGAAAGAGGAGAAGAAAGAGGAAGAGGAGACGAAGGAGACGGAGGAGGAAACGGGGGAAGGAGACAAGGAGGACAAAGAAACGGAACAAGGAGCTAAGGAGGAGAACCTTTCCTCATCGCCAGAACAAGAACCAAAACCCAAAGATGGTGAAACATCTGAAGCTCCAAACGATTCAGAGAAACCCGAGCGTTCCTCATCCTGATGTTCGACTCCGGATCGGGAAATGTTCCAAATGTTTCGGACGATTCATCTTCAGGAGAAACGAGATGCTGCAGATGAACCAGGATCAGACCAAAGATTCAGACGTGAACATCTCCTCCTCCTCCTGAGTGGAACGTGCCTCTGACTGAAACTCTCTTCACACGGTCGTGTTGAAGATCTGACACACTTCAGGGTTTTTCAGGTTTTATTTTTGTCTTTCTGGTTGAGAATCATGACGTCAAACTGGGGAATTCCAAAACTGTTACGGAGCAAACATCTGGAACTGTGAGAACAAACCTCAAACTCCAAACTCCAAACTTCTCCCACTCCCACGTTTACAGGACCAGTTTAATTCTGAATTAAATAGTTCAGAAGTCATTTTTTTCCTTTGAGTTTACATAAAAGTTTTAATTCTGAATTGAAGTTTCCATGAAAATCTCGTTAAATCATCTGCGGATCAGGACGAGTTTTTCTGTTTTTTCAGTTTGAATTCTTCGTGTCTTTCTGAATCTCGACAGGACGGTTTCGGTTTCGCTGAAGTTCAGACTTTGTCCATCGTCCAGTGAGTTGAGGAAAGTTTCACGGTTCATCCTCCTGGTGTCACGAGTTTCTCTCTCGCTCCAAACTTTCTTTCTTTCTGCTGCTCGTTTTCTGTTTCCAGCTGCAGGTTTCACGACTCGCGGTTTGTAAATCTACAGAATCTGAGTTTGTTTTGGGGCGTTTGTCTTCAGTCTCTCACTCTTTGTCTTTATAAGTTTAAAGTTTAAATGTTCAATAGTCGAGTGGTGCAGACTGGGGCTGGTATCGTTAAGTTGCCGATACGATACACACCTCGATACAGTGCACTTTTGATTCGATATGAAATATTTCAAATCGATTCGATACGGTTCAATAAAAAATAAAGGTTAAATTGTGGCTGTGACACTAAAAGTCTTTGTTAAATCACTTCTTGTTCAAATATTTTAATCGTCAAAACAGTAAAAATATCAAATGTGTCACATAAATGAGTTTCACTTTCACTAAACAAACAACAAAACTGTAGCTGGAACAAAATAATTTAGTAAAACATGTAAAAATACTCTGGTGAAATATCGATACAGTAGCCCACGATATTGATACTGTTTCATCACATTAAACGATACGATATATCGATATTCTGATATTTTTGCACACCTCTGGTGCAGACCAGGGATGGGCAGGATCCCAGATTCACCTTTAGCCCGGGTAGGTTCTTCCAGTGGATGTGAGCCGACCGAGCGTGTGCACCAGTGCTCTTTTCAACCACGAGCGCACGCCGACGCCAACGCCAACGCACGCCGAACGCACGCCAACGCACGCCAACGCACGCCGACGCCAACGCACGCGCCAACGCACGCCACGCACGCACGCAACGCAACGCACGCCAACGCACGCCAACGCACGCACGCCAACGCACGCCAAACACACGCCAACGCACGCCAACGCACGCCAACGCACGCCAACGCACGCCAAACACACGCCAACGCACGCCAACGCACGCCAACGCACGCCAACGCACGCCAACGCACGCCGACGCCAACGCACGCCAACGCACGCCGACGCCAACGCACGCCAACGCACGCCAACGCATGCGACCACACGCACGGTGCGCGGGTTCGTGTATCACGTGATCACTTTGACCAATCAGAGTGAGAGGAGCAGAGCGAACGATTATAAAGAGTTTGTTAAGACGACTGAAGGATTTTGAGCTGAGAAACAGTGTATGATCTAAAAATAGGTAAAAATCGTCACAAAATCCAACATTTTTGAAAGTTGTGGGTCCCTGTCAGATGAACACGAGCAGTTTGTGTCACACTGACTCGAGGAGAAAAACCTTGTCTCGGCCCAGGGGAGTTTTTCAGCTGTAGAACCACTGAGTGACACAACGACAACTGGAGGCAGAAACAAGCAGCAAAACTGTATCCAGTTATTTGAATAGATCCATGGACGATACATGTACAGAAGGAGCGAGACACAAACAGTGGGTCAGTCTGGAACGAACCGAAGCACAAATGTGGATTTAACCAGGATTTGTAGAAGAAATTCCACACTTTCCGTTGCGTTGGGACAAGTGTGAGTCCATGTGCACAGTGGATAAAGCAGCACATATGTTTCTGTGTCCAGTGGGAAAAAGTTTTTCCAGGTGAGAGTCGCTCAATGTGGATGACGAGGCCCCGCCCCCCTCCCCCCGTACGCTGTCCTGGTTTTGACAAACACAAATCTGGTCACACTGACCTGTATTCACCTGAGTCATGTCTTTTAATCCAACACAAGTTGAACCACATCAGCGACACAAGAGCTGGAGTTTTATCTTCACTTAGTTTATGTAAATTAGTGATGTGGTTTTAAGTTTTGTTTCTGTGAGATTTGAACAAAACTGAATTAAACACATTATAATGTCAAACAGCTGATGTGGATCTAGAGTCGTTATGTTTATATGTCGTAAAGTTGAATTTATTGATGCAGATTAGTGCAGATAGTAATAATAATGATGATCATTTTAATATAAAAAAACGTTCATGATTAATTGATAATCGATCGTTAATTCTTCTGACGATCGATTAAAAACATTTCATCAAATGTCCGTCCCTAGTTCAGACTGATGCCCCCGAGACCCGACCCCAGAGAAGAAGAAGAACATGGAGGATCTGCTCCAGCTCCTCTGTCTGATTGGTCAAAGTGATCAGGTGGAAGAAGAAGAAGATTATAAATAAAAGACAAAGTGAGAGTGAAGCAGATCTACCTCGGCCCACCCCCAAAGTCCCGAGACAGGACCAGGACCAGGACCAAGACCAAGACCAAGACCAGGACCAGGACCGGATCGAAGGACGACACAAAGAACATGAAGCACCAACATTATTTTAACAAGAACAAACCACAAACAGGATCCAGGAAGCAAATTCATTCATCCATTTTCTTCCATTTATCTGGGGTCGGGTCTCGGAGCATCAGCCTAAGCAGAGACTCCCAGTCTTCCCTCACCCCAGACACTTCCTCCAGTTCCTCCAGTGGGACCTGAGGTGTTCCCAGTCCAGTCCAGAGACATGGTCCCTCCAGTGTGTCCTGGGTCTCCTCCTCCTCCTGGTGGGACATGAACACCTCCTGAGGGACACGTCCAGGAGACGTCAGAACAGACGTCCTCCCCTCAGACGCTCCTCTCCACGTGGAGGAGCAGCGGCTCTACTCCGAGCTCCTCCCCTCAGACGCTCCTCTCCACGTGGAGGAGCAGCGGCTCTACTCCGAGCTCCTCCCCTCAGACGCTCCTCTCCACGAGGAGGAGCAGCGGCTCTACTCCGAGCTCCTCCCCTCAGACGCTCCTCTCCACGTGGAGGAGCAGCGGCTCTACTCCGAGCTCCTCCCCTCAGACGCTCCTCTCCACGAGGAGGAGCAGCGGCTCTACTCCGAGCTCCTCCCCTCAGACGCTCCTCTCCACGAGGAGGAGCAGCGGCTCTACTCCGAGCTCCTCCCCTCAGACGCTCCTCTCCACGTGGAGGAGCAGCGGCTCTACTCCGAGCTCCTCACCTCTGTCTCTAAGGGAGACGCCCGGACGTCCTGTGGAGGAAACTCATCTCGAGCTTCTTGTATCTGTGATCTCGTCCTTTCGGTCTTTACCCAGACTCAGACCAGAGGAACCAAACTCACCCAGATTTAAAATCAGAAGAAAACAAACAACTGTTAAGATTAAATCACAATTTTCACACAGACTTTTTAAAGAGGAATTCATTTTTTTTCAACAATTAAGACTTAAAAGTCTGATGGAAACACAAACACTGATGTGACAAACGCAAATATAAAAAACATTTTGATTTAGTTGGACTCGTTTAAAGTGTCAGAAAAGTGTTTCGTGTTTAAAAGGTGCTGAATGTTTGGACAGAATTCTCCCAGTGTGATGTCATCAGGTGGGACACTTCCTCTTGCACTTTTTTTTAACGTTTCTTTAAATGATTCGTGTCGTTTTTTCTTTTCTTTTATAAACGTGGGCTGTTGTTTCTTCCTGCAGACAGGGGGCGCTGTGTTCAGATCAATCATCCTGTAAGTCAGAGCTTTTGAAAACGTTTGTGTTTGTGACGATCGTCCTGACGTCTGGAAAAAGACCAAAGAAACTGAGCAGTGCCTTCGTGTCTCTGAGCAAGACACTTGAGAGTCTGAGTGTGGAGACGAGTTGATCCTCACAAATATGAAATATAAATGTTTTTTTATTAAATAATGAACAAGATGCAGCTACAAACTTTTAAAACACTAAAATAATAAGAAGAACATGAAGAAAAGTCAAATTTCAACACATAAATGTGTCAGAAAAAGAGTTGAAGTGTGGAAATGTTTGTCCACAGAAGTTTTCTGAAAAGAATCGACTCGAGACTGAAGCGTCTGTGTGAAAGTTTGACACGAACAGACTTAAAATGAAAGTTCATTTAATTCCAAATTGTAGATCAAATGTTTTAAATTAGTTTCAGTTGTAGACGAGTGTTTCTCAAGCGCTGGGTCGCGTCCCGCAGGTTGTTCCGTGTCGATCTGTGATCAACTTTAAACAAAAAAAAACTTCTGGATCTTTTTATTTCCAGAATTTAAACTAAATGTTCAACAATAAAATTTCCTCTTTAAAGTTCAATAATGAAACTCTCCACATCTACACTGACGTAGATCAACTTAAAACAGAAAATAAATGTGAAAACAACAAGAACCTGAAAGAAAAACTCCAATGTGAAACTGAAGCGGTGAGAGAAACGTGCGGCGCAGCAGTGAAACTCTCCTTTATCATTTAGAAATGATACATTTAATTTAAATTCTGGTTTAAATGTAAATCTGAGTTTTCTGTTTGTGGTTTTGGGGGAAAAATCAACTTTATCAAAATAAAAATAATTTTGGATTTAAAAAAATAAAAAATAAATTTCATGTTTAGTTTTTGTCTGAGACGTTTTGGGGGAAGGATTGTTTTGGATTTGGGACTCGTTTAGTCCTGGTTCAGTCCTGGTTCAGACCTGGTTTAGTCCTGGTTTAATCCTGGTTTAGTCCTGGTTTAGTCCTGGTTTAGTCCTGGTTTAGTCCTGGTTTAGACCTGGTTTAGACCTGGTTTAGACCTGGTTTAGTCCTGGTTTAGTCCTGGTTTAGTCCTGGTTTAATCCTGGTTTAGTCCTGGTTTAGACCTGGTTTAGTCCTGGTTTAGTCCCTGGTTTAGTCCTGGTTTAGACCTGGTTTAGACCTGGTTTAGTCCTGGTTTAGACCTGGTTTAGTCCTGGTTTAGTCCTGGTTTAGTCCTGGTTTAGACCTGGTTTAGTCCTGGTTTAGTCCTGGTTTAGACCTGGTTTAGTCCTGGTTTAGTCCTGGTTTAGTCCTGGTTTAGACCTGGTTTAGACCTGGTTTAGTCCTGGTTTAGACCTGGTTTAGACCTGGTTTAGACCTGGTTTAGTCCTGGTTTAGTCCTGGTTTAGACCTGTTTTAGTGGTTTAGTCCTGGTTTAGTCCTGGTTTAGTCCTGGTTTAGACCTGGTTTAGACCTGGTTTAGTCCTGGTTTAGTCCTGGTTTAGTCCTGGTTTTCCTGGTTTACCTGGTTTAGTCCTGGTTTAGTCCTGGTTTAGACCTGGTTTAGTCCTGGTTTAGACCTGGTTTAGTCCTGGTTTAGACCTGGTTTAGACCTGGTTTAGTCCTGGTTTAGTCCTGGTTTAGTCCTGGTCTGGTCTGATTTGTTTGAATCTGACACAGAGACTCGTCTGATTTATGACCTGCAAAAACTGAAACCTGATCCCAAAACCAGGACTGAACCGGGTCCAAACCAGGACTAAACCCGGTCCAAGGCAAGACGGGCCTAGACCAGAGACCGGACTTCCACAAAAACAGGACTAAGTGTTTAAATGTAGTTGTAAACCCGGTCTAGACCCGGTCTGAAGCGGGTCTAGGCCGGGTCTAAACGGGGCTGAGTTCTGGTTCTGTCCCTGAGGCCCGGAGACTCGCTGAAACCGGATCTTGGAGCAGTCCGAGGACTCGCTGGGACCTGTCAGATCTCAGTAAGTCCGGACTTTCTTCAGACCGGGCCGGGTCTGGGCGGATCAGGTCACATGACGCGGCGCCCGCTCTGATCCGGAGCAGGCCATGCATCAAAGTCCCGAGTCCGAGTCCGAGTCCTGAGTGGAACCAGATGTGCTTTAATGAGCGCTTTCCCCGCTCCAGCTCCACAGAAAGACCCGGCTTAGTCCTCGTTTGGGTCCTGCTCCAGACCTGGTCTAGTCCTCCTTTAGTTCTTGATTAGTCCCGGTTTAGACCTGGTTTAGTTCTGGTTTAGACCTGGTCTGGTCTCTGGTTTAGTCCTGGATCTATCATAGTTTAGTTCTTGTTTAGATCTGATTTAGTCCTGGTTTAGTCCTAGTTTAGACCTGGTTTAGTCCTGGTTTAGACCTGGTTTAGACCTGGTTTAGACCTGGTTTAGACCTGGTTTGGTTCTGGTTCAAACATTTTCTGTTTTAAAGTGAAAGTTTCATGTTTCCCTCTCCCCAGACACTTCCTCCACGTGTCCACACGCTGACGTCACAAACAGATCAGACCCCGAACCCACGACCCGCGACTCGCGACCCGGTCCCGGTCCGGAGTCCGCGGGTCACGTGTGAGGGCAACAGAACCGGGTCTTGTGTTCGGGTCTTGTGTTCGGGTCTTGTGTTCGGGTCTTGTTCGGGTCTTCGGGTCTTCGGGTCTTGTGTCGGGTCTTCGGGTCTTGTGTTCGGGTCTTGTGTCTTCGGTCTTCGGGTCTTGTGGGTCTCGGGTCTTGTCGGGTCTTGTGTTCGGGTCTTCGGGTCTTGTGTTCGGGTCTTCGGGTCTTGTGTTCGGGTCTTGTGTTCGGGTCTTCGGGTCTTGTGTTCGGGTCTTCGGGTCTTGTCTTCGGGTCTTGGGTTCGGGTCTTGTTTTCGGGTCTTGTCTTCGGGTCTTGTGTTCGGGTCTTTGGGTCTTGTGTTCGGGTCTTTGTGTTCGGGTGTCTTCGGGTCTTTGTGTCGGTCTTGTGTTCGGGTCTCGTGTTCGGGTCTTCGGGTCTTGTGTTCGGGTCTTGTCTTCGGGTCTTGGGTTCGGGTCTTCGGGTCTTGTTTCGTTCGGTCTTCGGGTCTTGGGTTCGGGTCTTGGGTTCGGGTCTTGTTTTCGGGTCTTCGGGTCTTGTGTTCGGGTCTTGTGTTCGGGTCTTGTGTTCGGGTTCTCGTGTTCGGGTCTTCGGGTCTTGTGTTCGGGTCTTGTCTTCGGGTCTTGGGTTCGGGTCTTCGGGTCTTGTGTTCGGGTCTTCGGGTCTTGTGTTTCGGGTCTTCGGGTCTTCGGGTCTTGTGTTCGGGTCTTGTGTTCGGGTCTTGTCGTTCGGTCTTGTGTTCGGTCTTCGGTCTTGTGTTCGGGTCTTCGGGTCTTGTGTTCGGGTCTTCGGGTCTTGTGTTCGGGTCTTGTGTTCGGGTCTTGTCTTCGGGTTCGGGTCTTCGGGTCTTGTTTCGGGTCTTCGGGTCTTTGTGGGTCTTGGTTTCGGGTCTTGTGTTCGGGTCTTGTGTTCGGGTCTTTGTGTTCGGGTCTTGGGTCTTGTTCGGTCTTGTGGTTTCGTGTTCGGGTCTTCGGGTCTTGTGTTCGGGTCTTGTGTTCGGGTCTTCGGGTCTTGTGTTTCGGGTCTTGTGTTCGGGTCTTGTGTTCGGGTCTTGTGTTCGGGTCTTGTGTTCTTCGGGTCTTCGGTCTTGTGTTCGGGTCTGTGTTCGGGTCTTCGGGTTTTGGGTTCGGGTCTTCGGTCTTGTGTTCGGGTCTTGTGTTCGGGTCTTCGGGTCTTGTGTTTCGGGTCTTCGGGTCTTCGGGTCTTGTTTCGGGTCTTCGGGTCTTGTTTCGGGTCTTGGGTTCGGGTCTTCGGTCTTGTGTTCGGGTCTTGGGTCGGTCTTGTGTTCGGGTCTTCGTGTTCTTGTGTTCGGGTCTTTGGGTCTTGTGTTCGGGTCTTCGGGTCTTGTGTTCGGGTCTTCGGGTCTTGTGTCGGGTCTTGGGTTCGGGTCTTGTGTTCGGGTCTTTGGGTCTTGTGTTCGGGTCTTCGGGTCTTGTGTTCGGGTCTTGTGTTCGGTCTCGGTCTCGGGTCTTGTGTCTTGTGTTCGGGTCTTGTCTTCGGGTCTTGGGTTCGGGTCTTGTGTTCGGGTCTTGTGTTCGGGTCTTCGGGTCTTGTGTTCGGGTCTTCGGGTCTTGTGTTCGGGTCTTGTGTTCGGGTCTTCGGGTCTTCGTGGTTCGGGTCTTGTTCGGGTCTTGTGTTCGGGTCTTCGGGTCTTGTGTTCGGGTCTTCGGGTCTTCGTGTTCGGGTCTCTGTCTTCGGGTCTTCGGTTCGGGTCTTCGGGTCTTGTGTTCGGGTCTTCGGGTCTTGTGTTCGGGTTCTTGTGTTCGGGTCTCGTGTTCGGGTCTTCGGGTCTTGTGTTCGGGTCTTGTCTTCGGGTCTTGGGTTCGGGTCTTTCGGGTCTTGTGTTCGGGTCTTGTCTTCGGGTCTTTGTTTGTTCGGGTCTTCGGGTCTTGTGTTCGGGTCTTGTGTTCGGGTCTTCGGGTCTTCGTTTTCGGTCTTGGGTTCGGGTCTTGTGTTCGGGTCTTCGGGTCTTGTGTTCGGGTCTTGGGTCTTGTGTTCGGGTCTTCGGGTCTTGTGTTCGGGTCTTGTGTTCGGGTCTTGTGTTCGGGGTCTTGGGTCTTCGGGTCTTGTGTTCGGGTCTTCGGGTCTTTGTTCGGGTCTTGTGTCGGGTCTTCGGGTCTTGTGTTCGGGTCTTGTGTTCGGGTCTTGTGTGTTCGGGTCTTTCGGGTCTTGTGTTCGGGTCTTGTGTTCGGGTCTTGTTTTCGGGTCTCGTGTTCGGGTCTTCGGGTCTGTGGGTGTTCGGGTCTTCGGGTCTTGTGTTCGGGTCTTGTGTTTCGGGTCTTGTGTTCGGTCTTGTGTTCGGGTCTTGTTTTCGGGGCGGGTTCGGTTCGGCGGTGCCACGTAATTAGTTCTGTGAAAACTTTGCTGCGCACGAGAGGCTGCGCGTGGGCGTGTCCAGAGCGCGCGCCCCTCCGCTCCCGCCGCGCGCCCTTCAGTCGCTCTAGTCCGCGCGCGAGGACACACGGCGGCACGAGACCCACGCAGACCCGCGCAGACCCACGCCGAGTCACGCAGACCCACGCACGTCCACGCACAGAGAGAGACCCGAGCGCCACGGACACGGCTCCCTCCTCCGCCCGGCTCCGCTGCGTCCTCCCCGGGTCCAGCCCCGCCTGAGTCCCGCATGAGTTCGGACCTTCAGCGTTTGTCGGAGTAAATCCACGGAGCTTTTTAATGCGAGTCCCGCCGCGTCCCTCCTCCCCCCGGCTCCTCTCTCTGTCCCCCCGGCTCTCCTCGCTCTCCTCTCCCCGGCTCTCCTCGCTCTTCCCCCGGCCTCCCTCGCGTCCTTCCCCCGCTCCAGAGCCATGACCTCCGGTTACGCGCATGTGATGGACCGGACCCCGCCGTTATCGAGCAGTTTGGACCCGCTTCAGGCCAAGAAGAACTTTTCCGTGAGCCACCTCCTGGACCTGGAGGAGGCGGGGGACGTGGTGGGAGCGCAGGCCGAGGACGGAGTGGCGGAGGCGGGCAGGAGCCTCATGGAGTCACCGGGGCTGACGAGCGGCAGCGACACCACGCAGCAGGAAAGTAAGTCCCGGCGGGAAGAGGCTCCAGAGGCAGAGAGGAGCTGGAGCTGGGGTTTGAGTTTTGGTCTGGGTCCGGGTCCGGGTCTGGGTCCGGGTCCGGGTTTGGGTTTGGGGATGTTGAAAATAACTGAACCGTGTTTGGCTGAAGCGGCCCCGGGGACAGAACCTCAGACCCGGGACCGTGAGCGCGTGGAGGTTCTCAACATGTTCTACAGAGTTTGAAGAGTTTTACAGAGTTCTAAGGGTTCTAAGGGCTGTAGTGAGTTCTAGGGAGTTCTAGTGAGTTCTAGGGAGTTCTAGTAGTTCTAGTGAGTTCTGGTGAGTTCTTGTTAGTTGTAAGAGTTGAAAAGTCTCGTGAAGAGTCACATTGTTTCACACAAAGAGCCGCGGGATTTTCTTGTGGATCATTTAAACCGAGTCTCTGTAATGAACGAGCCGCTCGAGAGCCGCGGGACTCGGCTCTTTAGACTCGGTTTGTGAAAGTCTCACTTCGAGTTTTAATTAAACTAAATTAAATTAAAATAAATTAAACTAAACCGCAGCGACGAGGCAGAAAACTGCAGCTCGTGTAAAAGTGGCGGAGCCGCGCGCGGGAGGAACGGGCACGTTCAGAGCGCGTGAGCCCCGCGCGACCTGGAGCTTTTCCTTTTAACCATGAACCGTTTATCCTCCCAAAGTGACAGACCCGAGCCGCGCGAGTCCAGACCCGAGCCGCGCGAGTCGAAGCGGAGAATCCACGACACGATTTACGATCGTGACAGGAAACACGAGCCCCGGACCAGACCCGAGTCCGCGCACGGACCCGGTCCCGCACGCGGGGGGTTAAATCCGTGAAATCGCAGTGCGCGTGAGGTGAGCGCGCGTTTTGGCTCGTGCGTAAAGGCGCGTGGCGCTGTAATCAGCGGCGTCGTTCCCTTCATCGTTTCGTCCCTCGGGACGTTTCGCTCGGGTCTGAGTCTGGAGCTTCTGCGCAGCGTCACGTCCCAAACTCACTGCGCTTTTTCAGCTTCAGTGTTTGTGTTTGTTTGTGCGTAAAGACGCACGGCGCGTCTGCGCCAAAACTCACGTGCGTGATTTTCCGCGCGTGAATCTGCGCGTTTGAGTCTGAACAAAGTTTAAACCTCAACTGTAAAAGTGAAAGTTTAGTGAAGCTGAAACGGCCCGCGGCCTCAGGTCAAACTGAAGCGGAGCCGAAACAAAAGTCCAACCTGAAACAAACTCTTCACCAAAGTGACGTCACGAGGTGGGAAATAAGATAAAATAAATACAATAAATAAATGAAATAAATAAAATCAATAAAACAGAATGAACAAATGAAACAGAAAGAGTTTGGAGTTTGAAGCGGCGCGTGACGCGGCTGAAGAAAATTTTAAAACAAGTTGAAGTTTAAAAATTTAAAACAAAGTTTTTCTCATTTATTTAAAAAACAAAATAAAACACAAAATGTTTTAAAGTCTTAAACTCTTGTCTCTCCTCCTCCTCCCGCTGCTCTTCATCCTCCTCTCCTCTCCTCTTTCTCTCTCTCTCTTTCTGCTCGTGTTTTTTGAATAAACAAACTTTATCTCTCTGTTTGTTTGGAAAAGAAAAGACTTCATCGTTTTTCTCTTTGTCAAATTAACGCCGCGGGGGCGCGCGCACAAAAACAAACACGCGCGGAGCCGGAGCCGAAGGGGAGCCGCGTCAAGAGCCGCGTCAAGAGCCGCGTCAAGAGCCGCAGAGCCTCGTGCACGTCCTGACGTCAGGTGAAAATGTTTCTGAAACTGACAAAGTCCAGAATAAAAGTGTCACATGATCAAATCAACTCTGCACGTGTTTACGTCACCGCGTTTTCCCACGTTTCAGGTTTTCATGATGTGACTGTGATTATTTTATCTGTGTGTGTGTGTGTGTGTGTGTGTGTGTGTGTGTGTGTGTGTGTGTGTGTGTGTCATTAGAGCTTCTGTCTCTAATCTCCTGGTTCGGTCGGTTTGGATTTTAAAACATTTGGGCGCGTCGCGGGCGCGTCGCGGGCGCGTTTCAGGCGCGTCTCTGCGCGGAGCATAAATCAGCGGCTCTAATGTGTTTGACCCGCGCGGATCAAGTTTCAGCTTCAGTCTGAGTCTGAGCGGCTCAAACTCACGCGCGGCTCCTGGTTTGAAATCTGCTGTTTCCAAATCTCAAAATAATAAAAAACTAAAAAATCTAAAGAAAAAGGATTTCGAGCGCGTGCGCAGAGCGCGTGAGCGCGAGGCCTGAAAAACACAAAAAAAAAAAAGAAAACAAAGTTCAGAAAATAAGAAACAAGAATTTAAAATGTAAAATGAAAATATGTGAGAGAATAAAAGTGACACCGAGTCATTTTTACACCGCGAGTCATTTTTACACCGCGAGTCACTTTTACGCACGCGCCACGCGCGGCCACGCGCGGCCACGCGCAGCTCTGATTGACAGCTCAAATTAAACAATTATAACAATTAAAAACAAATAAACATTTGATAAAACACAAAGTGCTTTTGTACATTTTATTTCAAAATAAAACTAGTGATTTTGTGTTTTATTTTTAACTCGGGTCATTTGACTCGTGGATCAGAAAAGTTTCAGACTCGCGTGAACGCGCTTCAGCGCGCGCGCTTCACATCTAAATTAAAATTAAAATTCAATTTTCTTTTCTTTTCTGATTCCATCTTAAACAAATGTCACTTTTCTTTTCTCTCGTTTTGTTTCGTTCAGAAGTTGAAAGTTTGAAGCGACTCGAGTTTCAGCCGCAGAAACTTCAGAAAAAACACCAAAAAAACACCAAAAAACACCAAAAAACACCAAAAAAACACCAAAAAACACCAAAAAAACACCAAAAAACAACAACAACCAAAACACACCGCGTCAGAAAAACTCCAGATTCATTTTTATTTCATCTCAACAAATCTGCAAAAAAATCCTCCAAATCTTTTTGAACAAAACGAGACGAAACTGACCCGAGTTTGTGCCGCACTTCAAACTCAAACTGTCACTTTAAATTTAACTCTAAATAAACAAATTATTCCATTTATTTTGTCACATTTATTTTACTGTTTAAAAGTGTAAAAGTGTAAAAGTGTTTTTGTTTGAAAAGTGAAACACAAAACGTGTTTTATTAAAGAAACACAAATATGTTGAACTGGTGACAGATTTACACTTTTACACAAACTGAAAATAATCATGAAAAATATAATAAATGAAAAAATAAATCAAATAAAAACATCAATTTCCTCAACTTTAAAATGAGCCACAATGAACCAACACTTTTATCAAACACACACACACAAACACACAAACACACACACACAGACACACACACACACACACACACACACAACACACAACACACACACACACACACACACACACACACACACACAGACACAAAGTGAATCTGCAGTGAAACAAAATAAGAGAAAATAAAACTTCAGTATTTAAAACTGAAACAAACATTTGTAGATTCTGAAACGTGTGTGTGTCTGTGTGTGTGTGTGTGTGTGTCTGTGTGTCTGTGTGTGTGTGTGTGTGTGTGTGTGTGTCTGTGTGTGTGTGTGTGTGTCTGTGTGTGTGTGTGTGTGTGTGTGTGTGTGTCTGTGTGTGTGTGTGTGTGTGTCTGTGTGTGTGTCTGTGTGTCTGTGTGTGTGTGTGTGTGTGTGTGTGTGTGTGTGTGTGTGTGTGTGTGTGTGTGTCTGTGTGTGTGTGTGTGTGTGTCTGTGTGTGTGTGTGTGTGTGTGTGTGTGTGTGTGTGTGTGTGTGTGTGTGTGTGTGTGTGTGTGTGTGTGTGTGTGTGTGTGTGTGTGTGTCCGTGTGTGTTTCTCTTCTGATATTTTCAGATTTAACTCTAAAAGTTTGTTCAGTTTTACACCTGAACGAGTCGAAACGTCACAGAACATTTCCTTTAGATCAGGGAAAAGTCCTGGAAAAGTTTGGACATTTTAAGTTTTGGAAAAATCTAACGTGAACTTTTATTCTCACACGACCAGAAACGATAAAACTCTGTGACGTCGTTAACGTTTTTATTCATAAAAACTGGAGGGTTAAAATTTCAGAGTAAAATATTTCAGAGTCGTTTTCAACACAAAGTGTTTTATTTTTACTCTTTGAGAGTTAAATGTGAGTTGGAGTTGGGGTGATTTGGTTGAAGTTAATTCAACTTCTCTTAGTGTTAATTTAAACTTCAAACTCCCTCCAGAAAAGAACCAGTTTGAACCAGTTTTGTTCTGAATTTCATCTTAAATTAACTCAAATAAAGAGTAAAAATAAAACTCCTCTGTGTGTTGTTGAGTTAAATCAGGATAACTCTACAAAGTGTTATCTGTTTACTCTCTAAACCTTCATTTAACTCTGGGTTTGGGTTAAACAGGAACTTTGGTCCAGTTTTACTTCATGAACTTTTACACAAATGTTAAATTAACTCTAGAACAGAGTGACTCAGAGAAACTCTGAGGAAATGTTAAATGTTCAAACTGACTCTGTCAGAGTTGATTTTAACACTTTGCTGCGTATAAACAAAAACAAAAAAATCCTCCTCTTTTTGTACGAACAGAAACGATAAACTTTTGTGTCTTTGTTCACATTTTTATGAGGTTGTGCGACTAGAAACGGAAACAAAAAATAAATAAAAAACTGTCATCGTTTAAAAATGAAAATAAGAACTAAAAGAAAAAAAAAAAAAAAAAAAAAGTGCTTGTGTTTGTGTTGGAGTTGAGTTTGTGGAACAACCTGAGTGTTGATTTAACAAAGTCTCACACTGTAGAAGATTTAAAAAGAGTTTAAAGATTCAAACGAACGGACGAAGTTTTAGATTCTGTTTGTTTCCTTCACATTTTGTCTCTTATATTTATGGAAAAAAACTCAAACTGTTTGTCTGTCGTTGTTTAACACCGTTTTTTTTACTTCAGACTGAAATCTTTGGTTCATGAAGCACGAGGCTGAACTCTGGGTTTTATTTAGTTTTGTTTTGTCGTTTTACAAAATGAGGAAATCGAACTTGAGCTGAGACTAAAG